TTCCTCATCCAAAAAAGAGCAGAGGAAAAAGGGAATTATAATATACTCACACAAAGGAGAAAATAAAAAAAGAAAACAAAACCTAAAAAAAAAAATCGTCAATAAACAAGGCGAGGAGGGGGGGGGTCATATCCCACCAATCAAAATATCCCTTTGTCCCATAAAACAAAGATGGCATTTGCCAGGCACCCAGACTCAATTAAAAAAACAACAACTATCTTTGATTCTTTCTTCTCTTTGAACTTATGGTAAATGGTCAAGTCCTGCTTATTGTGTCCAGAACATTTTTTTCACATTCACCCTCTCCTCTCCGTCCCCATGGCCTTGACCTCTTTCTTGCTTTCTCTCCTGCACATACACGCTCTCCTTAGTCTGAGAACAACTCTGTGGATGCTAGTGCGAGGCCCTTCCACACTCACTTGCTTGTGAGAAGTCTCATCACCATCCAGTCCCGAGGAAAGACGCTCATCTTCATCAGGTTCCGGAACACACAGAACGTCTTCAGCAGGAATTCCTGAAACAGGAAGGACGTGCACCATGGCGGCCGCCCCCCCCCCCCCCCCCCAAATCGCACTGGAGCGGGGTTCCTCAGCAGTGCTCTCTGGGCCTCTGGACACGAGAATGGGTCTGACCAGCGGGTCAGAGTCTGGCTCCCTTTGGAGCTGCTTCTCTCAGAGTGAGTTCTAGGCACTCTCACAGGTCAGACACGGGAGCAGATCCCAACTGGGCAGAACAGAGGCAGCCCATGCCGGCAGCCCCAAGCCTCGGGAGGGCTAGACTGCAGAGCAACTGCTACCCAACTGCGCCCGGGGGTCTCACTCTGTGGGTCACGGCCACTGAGCATTTGGTTTTCAGAATCTGCCTTCTGGGATGTTAGGGACACATGGACAGGAGAAGCACGTTAGGAGTGGCAGAGGGAGACCCTCCAAAGACGTGCTCCTGCAAGGCAGCGAGGAGAGTGGCGACACGGATCACTCACAGGCCGGCGACAATCCCAGGAGGGTCAGTCAGGAAAAGTGACGGAGGCCCAGGAGGAGCAGTGAGCTTCTGTGTTAACTTCCCCAGCCCCCCCGCCCCCCCGCCCGCCCGCCTCCACGGGAGCCTTGAAAACAAACAGCTGCGGAACCGGAACCGGCGGCCTAGCAGTCACTGGAGGGGCAGCATGGCTGTGGAGCTCCTGGCAAAGGCCATGCCATCCCCACAGAACTGCTGCCTTTGATTTATTTGGGGGCCACCAGGAAAGCCCCACCCAGAGGACTCATTTGACCTGGCCAGAGCTCACTCAGTGAGAAAAGCCTTACCGCTAGGGCATTTGCTGGGGAAAAATCAGTCATAATAACTTAACATCCCAGCTACACGAAGCAGCCATATCAGTTGGGACAAACGAGATACTGCCCACGACACTTAAAAGAAAAATCTGGGGCCCTGGCCGGTGGCTCAGTTGTTGGAGTGTCATCCCATACACCGAAGTACTGCACGTTCGATTCCTGGTCACACCTAGGTTGTGGGTTCGACCCCCAGTCAGGGTGCGTACGAGAGGCATCTGGTGGATGTTTCTCTCTCACATCGATGTTTCTCTTCCCTCTCTCCTCCTTTCCCTTCCACTCTCTCTCAGGTCAATAGACACATCCTCAGGTGAGGATTTAAAAGGAAGATCTGGGAAATGAGATGTCCACAGTGTTCCATGAAAAGCTCTGGCATATCCCTGGAATCTAGAAGGTCACACTTATGTACAGGGCTGTCCACATTCCCAGGAAAGACCGAAACAGCCCAGTACCTCACCTCTGGCTGCCTCAGACCCATTTGTCTGCTCGACCTGCCTCAGGGCTCCGGATCCAGAGTCTGGCAGCCAACGGACAGCGCTCCCTTTTGCTCTCTACGGCATCTTCCAGAAATACGTTCTACTGGGAAAGGGCTGTCACCGTTATTATTACTGTAGTTACTGGACAGTGAAGCCGGGTTTGCAGGGGCAACATAGAAGGCACAGGAAGGGAGGAGTCCTGGTGTGCGGCCGGCACGTATGGTCCAGAGTAGCTTCCCATAAAGACACGTGGTCACACGGTTGCCGTCAGGGCAAACCTGCCAGCATTTCGGGGTCTGGCTGCATGGGACTGCTGCCTCTCAGCCTCCCAAAGCCATCGGCAGGCTGGGAAGAGCGGCTGCGACTCTCACACCCTGCAGTCCTGGCCTGGTCACTTGCACTTGTCCCTGGCAGGGGACAGCCCCTGCAGTCTCAGCCACATGCTGCCCTCTGGGTGGAAGGCACGTGCTTTGCTGCCCACCTTGAGCTCATCTTTGCTCTGGAAGTTGTCCAGGAGGTGCTGGTAGTGGGTGTCGCACATCTGGCGGAGCAGCGAGAGAAGGCAGGACACATACTCACCCTGGGGAAACCCGAGAGACACTTAGCACAGACCATGACAAGGGACAACCCCAATCCACAGAGGGGAGGACAGAAGGGAGGGTCTGAGATGGCCCCATGACCATGAAAGGGGAGGCGACAACTCTGGCCCTCAAAGTGAGCTTTCCTTTCTGCTAAGTGAGGCCTGGAGGGCGTGTTGTAGGGAGGTTTCTGCAACTCGGCTGGTTGAAAACCTTAACCTATAACAGTGATGACGAACCTATGACACGCATGTCAGAGGTGACACGCGAACTCATTTTTTTGGTTGATTTTTCTTTGTTAAATGGCATTTAAATATATAAAATAAATATAAAAAATATACATCTTTGTTTTACTATGGTTGCAAATATCAAAAAATTTCTATATGTGACGCAGCACCAGAGTTAAGTTAGGGTTTTTCAAAATGCTGACACGCCGAGCCCAAAAGGTTCGCCATCACTGACCTATAATCAAGAAGCACCGCACGGTAAGACAAGGTTCCCGTTTTTCTCCGAGGACAGTTTGGGACATAGTCCTTCGTTACTATATGAGGCCCAGGCACCAAAGAGAAGTCTGGAGGGGCCACCTGCATCAGGGTGCTTGGCCCTCTTTGAACAGAATTTGGATTCTGCCCATCCTGCTGGGTCCTTCCACCACAAGCTCCTTGGGGACCTCCCAGACTTACATGTGGTTAGTGGACCAAGCAATTGGAACATAGTAGGTCAACATAACTGTCTGGAAAGTACAGGAATCAAAACTGACCTGTATGAGAAGACAAGCTTTGGGCTTTAAGACCAGTGAAAATTTAAAGATAAAAAAGGAGTCTTTAAACTTTCTTCAAATTCCAAGTGGGGCATGTGGGAGAAAACCCTGCTGTCAGGACTCCAAAAACTTCCACCGCCTCCCAGCAGTGGGCAGCGGGCATCAGGTGGGTGGTGGGCAGTGGGCAGCGGGCACGGCCTCCTTGTGGAAGAATGCCTCCTCAGAAAAAAATGGAGCAAAATGACTTCATTCGGACAATTTTCAAATGTCTTAAACTCATGGGAACTTGCCAACAGTTTTTTAGTCTCTCAAATCCTTTCTAGACCCACAAGACTATTATACATATATGTATGCAAGATACAGACATGTACTAGTATGTGAGCCTCAGTTTTACCTGAAAAATGAGCGCACATGAAGCATTTAGTAAATGGCCCAGGACATAAAAAGTGCTCTCTAAACTGCAGTCATTATCAACTTCATTAAATCTACATAAGATGAAACGCTCGGTGAGTACTGCTAATAAATGAGTTAATATTTGTAAAGGGCCCACAGCAAACACTGTGTCACTGTCGGCGAGAACGGGTCACCAGGACATGTAGGTGTGTATTGTTTGCCTACAGTGAGGGCGCCCTCAACAGGGGCACTGACAGGAGTGGACATTCGTCGCCAGCCCAGTGCTCTGGAGCGCTGGCCTGCCCTCTGCTCGCCCGGGCGCGTGGAGCGTGGCTTGCCCCCACAGAGGGCTTTCTTCGTAGCGATCACTGTCATCTGCCACCTGCCGACTGGAAGGTCCCAGGCAATGTTCATCCCGCTCCAACTCGGGCACAGGAGAGGGGGCTCTGGGGCTGCCTCTCTGGCCTCCCGAGAGGCTTTCCCTGTCTGTTTCTCTTCTTGTTCCATCGCGGAGATCGCTGTCCAGGGATGCCAGCGCGATTCTACCGCATCGCATTCTTCCTGAGGCCCGACACTGAGATACAAACATTACAGAAGAAAGCAACTGACCTGTAGATTCAAGCGAATTGAGAAAGCCCTTCTGCTGGGCACAGCATGTAGGAGAGCCTGCTCCCAGAAGTCTGCCTTTCACCCTCGGCCTCACCCATCTCACTGCAGCTCTGTCTCACCCATTAGAGGACTGACCTGGCTCAAAGGCAAAGGCCAACGGAGACGGCGTGCAGGGGACAGGCCAGGCACGTCTCTGGTCTGCCCTGCAGCGGGCTGCTGTGTGAACCTGGAGGCTCAGGGGGAGATGGGCGGAGAGGGGGAGGGAGACGCAGCATGCTGACGCCATGCGGGGCAGCGGAGATGGAGGAGGTGTGCGGTGAAATGGGGTTGGTGTGGAGGAGCCCCGGGTTAGAGAAGAAACAGGAAACCTGATGTTAGTTACTAACAGTGATCTCGGCTGTGCACTGCGGGCACCGCTGCCCTCTTACCGCCTCCTGAGCGTGCGATTTGCTCATGATGGTGAGCAGAGTCTGCAAGAGCACGTCCAGGAGGCTCTCCACCATCATCTCTACCTCCTCCATGACATCCGCCTCCTGGAGCGGGCGGCAGAGAGCACACAGTTAGCACAGGCCGGCGAGGCAGCCGGCAGCACTCACTAGGTCAGCCACTCGGGACTGGTCTCGGGACTGTTTCTCCACGCGGCTCTCGGCCTCACTAGCAGGAGCGTCAGGGAACCCGGGCACTGGCTCTGAGAAGGCGGGACACTGGGCGCTGATGCCCAGGATGGTGGCTGAGGCCTTACCCAGCGCCACCTGACACCCACCTGACACCCACAGTTCTGAACTGCAGGCAAACACGTTAATCTCAGTACACAGGACAGAAACGAAGGTCCCGAGTTCGGGGTTTTCTCATTTCCCTGTCAATGTCAGGAGAAAGCACAGTGCTGCCGACCAACGCCGAGAAGCTGTGGGGCAGCACCTCCACCACTGCTAATGCACACAGAGGGTCTTGGTCTTTCTGAAGACGGTCTCCTTTTCAGGGTTTTCCCTCTGGCTGCTTTCAGTCTCTGCCAGCCGGGCTGCTGCCAGGTGTGCCTGGGCCCCCTCTAGCTCCTCAGCTTCTCGCTCATGGGCGCTGGTCCCCCCGGAGAACTCTGGGTCTGCGTCTTTCTGAGCAGCCCCCAGAACACGGAGCACGCCTCCTCACAAGGCTGCCTCCCAGCCACGAGGCTCTGAGCTCAGGACGAGCCTGTGCTATCCCTTTACAGAGCTCCCACGTTCAATCTCAAACGCCCTAGCTCAGTTCCCATTATCCCACAGAAACCCCATGGCCCTTCTCCAGCCTCTTCAGGTTCTTACTGGTCCAAATGTCCATCCATCCATCACTCACTAAGCATTTATCACGTGCCAGCCACTGTTTGAGGACCGGAGTGTACAGAGGCGAACAAGGAAGAGACTCCCTCTGCTCTCGGGCAGCTGCAATCGCACTCCTCCCCTACCCGCCTGCTGGTATCGACACCATGACGCCCGGCCCGATCCACGTGAAGAATCTGAGCAGCTCTTGGGCCCAAAGTTGTCTCTCATCTGCTGGACTGATCGTAACACTCTTACCTGTGATGCCTCTTTGAGAAATTGTAAGCGATTAATTGGATCGAACTCTCTAGCCCCACAAATACAACCAGACCATCTCCTCTAGGCTTTTATCTGTTCCTCTCTCCTTTTCTTTATCCTTCATCCTTCAATCTTTCTCCTTTGTTATTTTTTTTAGCAATAAGCCTCCCACCTGTCAAGTCTGACCTTGGGCACTAGGAGACCTTATGCAACCGTGTGGCTCTCTGAGGCCTGGGGGGAA